CAGAAAAATTCAGCGCTGTTGCAGCGAGTTACTTAAGGAACTTTTAAGTCGGTCAATAATGGAGCACAGTTCGTTGATATGGAATTCTAATTATAAAGTCAATTCTGATGAAATTGAGTTTTTGTTGTTGTCTTTGCGTCAGTTACAATGGAATTCTTACCAAAATCATTCGCCGTATACTAGTCACTTAAAGCTTTGAAATTTACCCACACTTTGTAGCCGTTGGGTAAGGATTGGACTACTCTTGCAGCTTGTTTCTTTTGGGTGAAGTCAATTTCAATTTCACCATCCATTTATCACAACAATTTAGGCTTTTATTTTTAAAATCAAGTAAAATAAATGTTCCGTTGTTTATGTTAACATTTCAATATAACGATTGAAAACACGCACAAAAACACTAAAATTCTATGGTAGCATAATAATAATCTTATATTCCAACTGATGAATTTGTTTGTCTAAGTAGTTTTAAATCTCGACGACTAAGAAACTTTTACTTATCATGGCTCGGGGGGCGTCTCTCGTGTCGGTTGGGTAGGAAAAGGGTAACAGTTGTGTTAATTATAGGGTTTCTAAGACCCTACACCTCATCACTATCCGGTTGAAGTTTTGATTCAATATTTACGTGGCACTTAGCTACAGAATTACACGGTCTTGCAAAACATGCCAAAACTGCCTATTTCAAGGCTTGTCTTATAGTGATCTACTTCGCGCATTAATTTTTTTTTATACTGGATTCTTGCATTTCTCAGTATAAATATTGTTGATTTTTTTATTACCTTGTAATAAATTAAATTAAGTTTGCAGGTATGCTGGGCATACATTTACGCACACAAATGTTACTGAGGAGTAAAAAGGAGTAAAAATTGTCGTTAAGACTGTCTTAAATGTTTTCCCCATACGTACAATTTAAGTGACAATAAATCATTGTGTTTGAGTAATTTGATAAGTATTGCTAGATTGATAATACTACCTAGATAATAATATAATATATATATATATATATGTATTTTTTTTTATTCTGTGAAAGATTAAAAATATTAAAAAAAATAAATATATACGATAAAGAGCACTACAGTAGTGATTTTGGTTTTTATAATTGACTTTGGGGCTGCGATTGATTGTTTTATCTAATATGTAAAATTTCATCTTTTAACATATTGGTTTTAAAAAAACTTCGCGATCTCGTTGTTGCAGTCAATAAACATTGATATTTGTGTGTCAAGCCAACGTCAAAGGAAAATCTTTATTATTATGCACTGAGTGTGTATATACCTACAGCGTCTCTGCCGGGGAGAAGTAAGAGTAATTTACCTGCAGCGAGGTTTGAATCCCGGAAACTTACAAGCTAAAACAATAGCCACTAACCTTTCGGCTATCACGACGATGAAGCGAAGAACGTCGTTTTGCGCACCACAACAGTGCGTCACTGTGATCGGGACTCTGCCGTAGCGTGCTAGACAGAACAACAATACATGATGGTGCTAATGAAGTGATATACAAATAACTGGTATTGTACTGGTATATGCATACTATTTTGGCTTTCACCTGCAAGGATACATATATAGAAATATATATCTAATATATCAAATAGTAGAAGGATTCTAATTATTTTGCCTGCAAAAAAAAAATATTTTCCAAATGTTATTAATATGTATTACATTTAAAATTTCATAAGTAAACATTGCGCAGTCACAATATGTGCATAAATGCTTAGATATACTTTTGTACATATGAATATACTTGTATTACATATGCATATTTTTATGTTATGTATTGACAGTAAACAAATCTGAAAACAATTAAATATGCATTGACAACACGTTTTTTCTCAACACAAAAATAAACAAATACAAATATCGTGTGATTTTAGTTCTTAAGTGAACTGACTTGTATCAGCATTTGTGGTTAGCAGTTAAGCACATTTAGAACAAAAAAAAAAAAACAAAAAAAAATTGGGGCGGGTTTCTTATCGGAATATTGCTTCTTATCAGACTTTTCATGAATAAAGGCAAGAAGACAATGGTGAAAAAGCATTTGCTAACCACTTCAGTTGGAGAGAAATCTTGACTCTTGCCTGCATTTTTATTAGAGTGTCTAGTATCCATAAAAACATGGAATCATTATGCCTTCATGGCAGCATTCCCTAATTTATTGTTTAATTAAAAGCGTTTGCTATGATATCTTACACCAAAAACAAATATAAAAATAATTTAATAAAAGTTATATTAAAATTTTAATAATTTTTTTTTATACCATAAGTTTTAATTACAGGTGTACAACTTTGTTTCCGCCGTTTTCCGATAGGTGGCTGTACCGGCTGAGGCTGGTTGAAATACATAGATGATAATGCCTTTAAAGTGAGTGTGGACAGTGCCTAACGAATTGTCATCGCCGTTTCAGTGATAGTTGTTCTTGTTTTCGTATTACTCACGCTCGAAAATGTCCGTTAATGTGCCTAATTCTCGCCATTCTTGCCTCTCGGAAAGTCTTGCCTCACCTGCCGTATTCCCCAAATGTCGCCCCTTCTGACTTCCACCTATTCCGTTCGATGGCACACGAACTGGCAGATCAACATTTAAAATACTTCGAAGAATTGGAAAAATGGATTGCTTCATGGATAGCGTCAAAAGAGGACTCCTTTTTTCGAGCAGGGATCCGAAAATTGCCGGAAATATGGGAGAAAGTTGTCGCTAGCGAAGGACAATACTTTGAATATATCTGTAAGCACTTTTTCGCAATAAAGCTTTTAATTTTGGAAAAAAAAACGGCGGAAGCAAAGTTGTAAAAATCTCTTCTCAACATTCCCAATTGTGATGATGCCCATTTCTGGCTCAAAACTGTTAAACTGTTCTTAAAAAATTGCTACAAAACGGTTTGATTAGCTTCTCTTTTTATTTGAGAATCAAATAAGAGTAAGGCCGCAATAAGAGAGTGGTTAGCATTGGGTTCTCCCATTCGGATAGCCAGGATCGATTCCTGTTTCGATTATCATCCAAATTTATAGAAAACTAATTTTACTAATTATGTTCGCCCCTCGACTGGGATGGACAAGCCCTCCGAGTCTATTTCTAAAATACACGAAATGAAAGCTCATCATAAAAATCCACAAGCCTATTGGAAGAACATCAAGACGAATTGTTTCTATGTACCAAAAAAAATTCAGGAAGTGTACCAGGGTCTGAACTATCCGAAAAAATCTTATTTATTTATCGATTTATTTGAAATTCGCTACATAGCTTTTTGAGAAAACATCGTATTAATAGTTCCTTTTTCTTGAAATCTTTTTTTACGGGATAATTAGTTTTTGATTTAAAAGTGTTTCTTAGAAACGGACCAGAGATCTGGAGACGAGTTAGAGCTGCTCGAAATAGAAATACTACTTTCGTTACGCTCTTTTCTGTAATCACCGACAGAATGATGAAAAATTAGTTTGAAATATTTTCAAGCATAGGTCGCGAGTAGGTATGCTGTCCTCATATTTTTATTATGCTGCAGCTGCGGTATAGGAGATGGTTTTTTCATTCAACTTAATTGTGAATAAGTCGACGTGTTTCATGCCAGTTACTGGAAATACGGAACGACCTAACTTTGGATGGATTAGATTATCTGATAAATTTTGTAATTTAAAGACATCAAAAGAAGAATTGATTCACGGATGCTATCAAAACATCCAAATCCATTATAGGGATCATGGGTGGCTGTGAGAGCGATATATAATATAATCGCTGCAACAAACTAAGATGTCTACGATCTCAACCACACTATTCAGTTCAACAAATCAAGCGCATTCAGCACTTATAACTCAATAGACACCATTTGGGAAGAAAATGCAGTCAATTATCCAATTCTAATTCTTCGGACTTAGCGGAGTCCAATCGACACATTTTGACCGGACCTCCTTTCAAAAGTGAAGACATCCGCATTCCTCGAATACCTATTATCATTTATTTATTATTATTTATCATTTATAATTGTATATATAAGATTGAAGACCATACTGCCTCTAAGTAGCCTCAATTCGCAAAAAATGTTTTTCATTTGATAACCTACTTAATTATTCCTAAATATCTGTCTTCGTAAGGATTCAGCTAGGAACATCGTGGGAGATGCCACATCGTACTTAAAAGAATGATGATTAAAGCAGGGTTTCGACATTTCCATACCGATATTATTGAGTTCAGGAGAATACAAATGTTTTTCTCCTTTACGCTGATGTTCTCTTTAGAGAACTTCAACTTCTTCTTAAGCGTTGAAGATAAGCATGAATCGAGGTACATTTTTCAATATAGTTTTTTTTGACAGATTACTAGATGCTATTTTTGTTCAGTATTGACTTACGCCTGAACAATGCTTACAAATCGTTCAAATTTATTGCAAAAATTCACATTCTGTAAAGAATGTGTTTTACGCGCTTCGCTCAACTTATGGTCAACCTAATCGGCCTACTGAGCGTACTATTCGCAACACCATCACCCATCTTGAGACCTAGCATTCATTATTGGATAATATTCGATCGAATACAAATACGTCCAGCGTACAGTTAAAAAAATAGCGGCCGTAGCTGAGAGTGTACACGAAGACCGTGGAGAGTCCATTCGATGACGCTCGCAGCAACTTGTCGAGATCTAGAATTGAAAGCTTACAAAATACAGCTTGTGCGTGAAGTGACGCCGCTCGCTTCGCTCTATATTTATAAACATTCTGGGGGGTTTTTTTTTCTTTAAAAAAGTAAGGAAACTTGAAAGAGATCACCCTTTTTATGTACATTTACAGCCAGCCTCTTGAGCATTTTTATCTTATCACAAGGCAATGAAATGAATCGATAGCGTTTTGTGTATGGTAGATAACCGCGAAAACGTTATTACTAAATACATAAGTCTACGTAAATGCTATTGTTTACCGCACACTGCCACTACTGTTTTTAGTATGTACATACATACATACATACGTGCTGATGATGACTGCTTTTTTGTTTTAACTAGTTAAGGCGCTAATTGTGTACATCTAACACTTTTCGAATCGATCAAATTGAGTTGCACGCAGACCGTACTGGTGACCGCGTTTAAAGCTAAATTAGTGACGGAAAATACAAATACTTGCAGACGGTACTACGAAAATTAGTCACACTTACAATATTATTGTGCAAATTGAATGGTTAGCAAATGAAATAAGAATAAAAGTAAAAATAATATGTCCGTCACTGTGGATCGTGAGAAAAACATGCAAGCAACGGCGCATGATGAGGTCGATTTCAGTAGCGGTTTCGAGACACAATATCTGCAGGAGTACCGTCCGCCGAAAGCAACGGTGCGTCCAGCGCCACCCGATCCCAGTTTGGCTTGGTATCGCAACACCATGTCGATTATGATGGTCTGCTTTCTTTTCGTTGTGCTCATGACCGGTTCAATCTTCCTCATACGCGCGATCTTCTCCTCAGACCCCACAACTGTGGTCATACTGTTGGTAGCCTATTTGGCGGTTGCATTTTTCTTCATTTGGCTAGAGGTGTTTAGCAAGCACGTGCGTTGAGTTCACAATGAAGTGGGAGATTTCAAAAAAATAAGAATTTACTTTCAGAAAAATTTTCAGTGATAACGTTTATATATGTATGTACTTATGTAAATATTTAAAGCATTAAGTGATATTAAATTAAATTTTATTTTACAGATATCCCAATTATTTATGTATGTGTTTACTGCCAATTGTTATGGCCACATATTGAAAAATAAATATGTTCAAATTTGATCGTGTTAAAGATTAAAAAGTCTCTTTTCATTAATTACATAATAATTTCATAATCTTTTCAGTCTTATCTGGAAATCCCCAAGCTTATATCTTGGGTTCTCATAATTTTGGTTTTCGGGAACAACACGGCACAATTGAATTAGTAAATCGTATAACAAATGAAATAAGGAAAAGTTTCGAATTTTGAGAGTATTGCTCGGCCGTTTTTCTTGATGTGGCACAAGCATTTGACAAAGTGTGGCAAGATAGTCTCACTTATAAAATTACAAAAATCATTAGGTAACTCATTGCACAATATCCCTGAATTATATTTAACCAGAAGGCGATTCATTGCAAAGGTGTTTCGCAGGGTAGTGTTCCTGGACCAATATTGTATATTTTGTTCACCGCAGATATTCCTACAAGTGACAAAGTAGTGACGTCAACTTTTGCGGTTGATACTGCTATTCTAATACTAAGTCGACTAAATGCCCCAATACGGCCACAAAAGTGCTAGAGCAGCACCTAAAACTAATTGAGGAACAGCGCAAACAAGTTAATGAAAAAAAGTGCAAACACGTTACTTTTACATTATGGCCAAAAAGGTGCCCCATCTTCAAGCTCAACGAAGTGCCTATTCCACAAGCTAACGAAATTACATACCTTGGCATCCACTTGGATAGACGACGACTAACATGGAAGCGACACATTTCTCTCAAAAAGATGCAGTTGAAGCTTAAATTTTCCAGTTTATATTTGCTTTTAAGCAAGAAATCTAGGCTCAGCCTTTAAAACAAAGTCCTTCTTTATAATATGACTATAAAACCGATATGGACGTATGGAATCCAGTTATGGGGTACAGCTAACCAGACAAATCTATATATAATACAAAGAATTCAATCGAAAACATTGAGAATAATAACAGGTACATGCGCAATGAAAATATCCACAGAGATCTAAACATACTTACAATCAAGGAAGAGTTTGAAATCGTAGCAAGAAAATACTTAACAAAACAGCGGAACCATCCGAACGCTTTGGCTATTACCTTGGCATCCGCAACAAGTCAAACGCGCCTGAAGAGAAGGGACTTGCTACACTTATGAGGAGCGACATTGAGCCAGCAGCTTATCTTCTTAAGATCTGTCAACTTATTGTGAGGCCTCTGATTAAATAATTACAATTGTTAAAAAAAAAACATTTGACTTGTCAATAGTTAAAGGAAGAAAGCTGTGGGATCAGCAACATAACATTTACGTTCTCCTAAGATTTCAATCGAACCACATACTGAGGATGTGATCAACTCACCCTGTTACGAGTGCTTAGCGATCTCAAGATCTTAACAGCCTTAGTGGAATTCAAAAACAATGCTCTACCACACACGGCTATACATTTTGCGATTTCGAAAATAAACGTAAATAAACTGCATTTAAAATATTTATGAAATAAACTTTTTTTTTTATTATAAAGTTGGAATTGATGGTGACAGTCACGCCGTACTGTCGTTTTTAAAGAAGTAACTAATACCTTATGACCAAAGAGCGCAACAGATAGTAATATTTTTTCGTTTGATGTAATTGCCGCTCTTGAATTATTTGAGGATTCTCGGAACCCCAAATGTGACAATTTTGAACATTTACGTATCCGCTAGAGAAAAATCTGCTTTGTCGCTGAAGAAAATTTTATTCGAAAAATCAGCGTCCACTGCTCGTTGTTCGAGCACCCAGTCGACGTATGTACGTCATTGTGAATGGTTAGCTGGCTTCAATTGTTGTGTGAGCCAGATCTTGTATGGAGCTAGGTGTAAGTCCAAGTGCTAAATAAGCCACAATGTGCTGTTAGAAAGTCACAGTTCTTGAGAACATCGAGAAATATTCACATTCAAAATTAAGTGAACGGTTGCTTTGCTACTTCGTAGCTTGAGACCCGCCACTCAAAATGAATGCAACGGTAATGTTAGGTTTTTTTGGAGAGTAGCATCCCTTATCCTACACACAAAATAAGTGATTTGAGAGCAGCTTCACCGTATTAAGAACGTTTTGTACTCGTAGGTCGTTTATCCGAAATTCGTAGTTTAGAAAAATGGGCGTGGCACCTACGAGTATATATTCTTATACAATATATTTTATAAAAATAAGTTCGCGCGTTCGTTGCTACCTCATAACCCAAGAAAATTTTGTGTGTCTTCCAAAGAACTCAAAAATAGTTAAATTTATAATTCAGCAGAGTTGCCACCGGGTGAAAACGTATATGCATGAATAATAAGTGTGTCCAAACGATGATTTACAATTTGGCAGAGCTACCACCAGTTTTGAAATTGAAATATGAGAAAAAGAGGCAATAAATTTTACAAAGTGGTATCAATGAGCTGATATTATAGAAAGACTAGAAGAAAAATTTCTTTAGCAGCGTTGCCACTTGTTTCAAAATATCAATTTTAAATATTTGATTGAACATTTCGCGAGGAAATTATTAGATGGGTATGGAAATAAAAAAAATATGAGGAAAATTGCCACCTCTTTGGAAATTATAATTCAATAAAAAACAGAAATAAAAAGGAGTTATGAAGGCTTATAATGGAAATACTTTTTAAAAAATGTAACCTTTCTGAAATTTTGTACATAATTAAAAGACAATAAATAATACAAAGTGGGTATCAAACTAAGTATATTTAAGAAATGCTTAATGTGAAAATAAGGTTTAAGAGGGTTGCCAAATGCTTGAACTTATAACATTATGTAACTAAATTAAAATTGGCGAATCTAAATAGCGATGTTTGAAAAAGTTTTTGAGGAGGATTCCAACCGGCAACATGTATGCACGGATTTTCCTTAAAAGATCGAGCGCACTCAGCGTTGTTCAGATCAATACCATCCAATTCCAGCAATAAAAAAATAATAATTAATCATCTCTCAATAGCGCAATTTATTTATTTTCGAAAAAGTAACGTTCAATACATCTACGGCACCAAACAGTTGGACGTTGAGGAGGGAGAGGCTTTTCAACAATAAATTTTGAGTTTTCTGAGCACCAGATACCATAGTTTGATGTATCAATGTGGTTATCGAGATGGAAATGGCCCTCATCAGTCAAGACGACTTTTCGCTGAAATTTTTACAGTGAATTTTAACAATCTCAACATATTGCTGAAGCGTGAATCGTACTAATTTTGTTGCTGGCGTAGTTTTTACTTGCCAAACCTCAAAAATTACAGCTTTAAAAGTGACATCTACCGGAATAACACCCCAACAAGGTGGAGTGACTGGAAATTCGAAACTTTAGCTGCCGAAATGCAAAGACAAAAGTGAAAATTAAACTCTTTTCTTGGTGCAATTTTACAATGGAGGATAAAAATTCGCTTTGTAAGCGCTGAACGGAGCTCTTCCTTGAATTTGTGGTTTTGCGTCTTGATGATTTTCCAACAAATGGAGGGATCTACAGTTTATACTGAGCCGCCTCCGGACGGCTGATAGTTTTTTAATATGAAGCATTTGATTTTCATGTCAGAAATACACTCGGAGGGATTGACAAGAGGTCAAATATTCCCTAATAATAGTGGAACTTATGAAAAAAAATTAATGATTGAAATGTTAAGAAAAAAGATTATTACGATTTCTTAAATAACTTTTTTTTAGTATTTGTTTTGGTGTAGTGAAACACACCACTCCAGTGTTGAATAAAAATAAAATTTAATAATTTTTTTTCAAAATGAACTTAACTAATTTTTATTCATAAATTTGGTTCTTTACATCTAAACATACTATATTAATACATATGTGCATACATACTCGTATATATATTTAATCTGTGAATATCATCTTATAATGTTAATTAAGTTTTAGTCGTAAACAAATGTTTGGTTAGAATAAATAATTTTTTTTTGTACGAGAAAAAATATAAATATTTTTTTGGTAAAGTGATAAGTGATTTTTTCGTTTAATATTTTCCGCCACTTTAGTCCTGACGGAATTTGAAGAAGCCCATAAATAGGAGGCAAACTATAGCTAAGTTGTAAATCACACAAAGTACGACACCAGCATTCGTCCAGTTACGATACCAGGGCAATGGTGGATACTTGAATATCGATGGTTCATTTGCCAAGCTCGCGAGTGTTTTATTTGCTGGTGGCGCAATATTAATTCTCACTTCTTGGTCCTTAGTTGTGGGTTTCATCTGTAGCAATGTTGCGCTATCTGACTTCGCTGATGCGTCATTACTGTCACTGAATATGAGGCTGGCATTGGCAGAAAATTCACTGGGTAATAGTGTTTCGGAATCCTCAATGTTTACACTCTCAGCGTTGTCGAGGAGAATCGCAGTTGTTTCGCTTAAAAGAAAATATGAAAAGATATTTGAAGAGAGTTTTTTTTATTAATCTATATATAACTGTATATATGAGGCTTTGTGTTGAGTGACTGACGAATCAAATCACAGACTAAACCTCAGATTGTAGAGTTTTGAAACTTGGAGAGCGGTTCGTGCATATGAGGTAGACATCTGGTACCAATTTATTCGAAAAAATAGAATTTCTCTTTAAATCCATCGTTCCAATGATATGGGGAACACCTTGTCTTTCGGAAAGTGAGCTTGGAATCGTTTCGATGGAGGATGAAGCCCGATAGTTTAAGTTTTTGTGGTATCACAACCGGTCTAGTCAGGCCTAAGTGAATCCGGTCTGTTAGATCGGTAGGTACCGTAACCTAATTTAACAATTGAGTAAATTTTTCGATAACCCATCGCTTCATCAAAGGCTTCAGTAGTGATGCCTGCAAACAGGACCTCAACCTTCAACAAACCGGTCAACCAAACAAGCAACCAGCCTGAACTTGGTAAGTGAGTACACATTAATGCCAAGCAGCAACAAAGAAGCGACTTGAAAAGTCAAAGAGCATACGCTTTACCATATTTTATGGCTTGTGTCGTTATGGCAATCGTACATTATTTCGAAGTTTGATATATCGGCCGCAATGGCTGAGTGGTTAGCAGTGCGTGTTGCATTGCGGAAGGTCATGGGTTCTAACTCAGGTCAGACCAACAAGCTAAATTATAGTAAATAATTAATAAATAATAATTTTTTGCCAAACGTGGTGAATGCCAATGCTTCGGAGCACATTTCTGAGGTGAAAGGAAAGGTCTCCCCATCGAAAGCAATTATGATGCCAAAACTTTGTTCATAACATTAGTAAGACCGTTTCTGTACATATACTCTGTTATGATATAATCTATTTAAGAATAAATACTCTTTTTTATGATGTAAGTGTATGGAGAAGATAAAATAACTAGTATAGTCTGGAAAGGGTCTTCTGACTTTCGATAATTTGCATCAGCGGGGCGCTCAGAACAACACAATCTGCCACGCTACAAGCGATTTTGAGCATTCCATCAGTAAACTTACTAACTAAAAACAGTCACGTCTTGCGGGCACAGCAGTAGCAGCAACGTTACGTCCTAGTGTCCAAACAGAATATTTAATACCGTATATGAATATCGGGAAGCTGTTGTCAGCTACAACAGCGACGAATGACTGGTGTAAAGGTCTGAAATATGCAGACAAAGCTGTTTATATTTTTTTCCGAATTCTTCTAAAGTGAAAAAAGAAGGAGAACTTCAGTTTACTGCATTCAAATGGTGATAAGAGACATTTAAGCTGCCAAACTATTGCAGTCTTTTCCTAGCAAAATTGTTTGGTATAAAAAAAAAAACGACAGAGCTACTGCAGCGTGTAGGTTTTCAAAGGAAGAGAACGCACACTTATGTGTATAGCCAAGCGGTCATCAAAGCCTTAATTTCATACAGCACAAAATCGGCTGTGGTCACACTAAGTAAAGATGAAATAAAACTGTTTAAAATAGAAGAGTTTATACGGGCGATGAAGCAACGAGATAGCTGATGAGCTGGCTAAGAAGGCCATTCTTTTAAAACAGAACGTAATCCGCTTTACAAGCCAGTTCATGGAAGTGAAGCTCGAAGTAATATTGCTTGGTCAGGCGAAAAGTCTTTGGGAATGAGCTATTTTTCTACTAATAATTAAACAACAAAAATATACTAGTTTGCCATATTCTAGAAATTTTACTAGTATTTTTTGGTAAAATCTTGACTAGTTAGCGAAAATTCTAGAATAATTCTTGTTTTACATATTTTGTAAAGAATTATGAACAGTCGTAATTAAGCTTTAAAACCGAAGATCAATATCTCATCCACTTCCTGAAAGTAAATAAGGTACCGAATTATATTTGAAATGTGTTTTTTGCAAATAATTTAGTCCCTAGTCGACTTTCCGTGAAAAGTGTTTTCAAAACAATTTTCAAATCTACCTGACTTTTAGAATTTTGATTTTTGACTAGTATGATACAGACTGGTCTGAGGTTGAGCACTGGAACTTATATGAGCGCACAAATATTTTAACGGGTATATAATAAGCTGGTATTTAACTAGTATGCAGCTGATGCATAGACCGTCAGGACATCGCCATGTTATATATATCTTTTGTTTACTTGTAAAATGAATGATTAACAACTAGTATATATCCCTGCCAGTCGAATTATAAGAGGTTGGATTTATACCCATTTTTTCACTAAGATTAAATTGAGTGTTTCGTTTAGAGCGTCAAGATAGTTCTGCCTCTAAAAATAATTTTAAAATTTATGAGCTAAAGTATTTTTCGTCGTGGCATTTAACGAACTCTCGCTCAGCATTTATCTCTTTAATTGGGAGCATAATTTCTATCCCCCTAAAAATTCCTTTTCGTTGGGAGTCAGAAATGTATTTGGATTTTGAGGTTCCGCTGTAATTAAAGTCTCTAAAATAAATCAATCAATATCCTGTATTCTGAAATATGACGAGCTTTTGAATTCTTCGATTGTAAACCTTCTTGAACAACTGAATGATTTGTGAAAAGCTTCGTTTTTAAGGCAAAAACATACTAGAAGTTATTAACAGTTCAGGCAAGAAGGAAACGGCATCTTTAAACCCATCACTCACTCGGTTACTGCGGCCGCAAAAAATTTCATATACTGTTTTACAATCTTGAAATTTTTTAAAGTTAAACATAATTTGGCTTGAATTGAAAGAGGGTCTGTGTGGATTGGTCTTTTAACTGTACATAGAACGAGGTATGTTTGTTATCCAAAATATGAGGCTCAGCCTTGAGGTAACTTGTCATGCTTACTTCGGAGAAATTCCACACTAGAATCCAGCTTTTCTTATTGATTTAGAGGTCTTGGCACATGTAAGCCTAATTTACATTCTTCAGTTTATTTCAAAAATAATTTTCACCTTTGCCCTTTTAAAGCGACTGTAGAAAGTGAAGCTCGGTTTTGGATAAAAACTATATTTTTTGCATATCAGACTTTCGGTAGTTTTACACAACAACACCCTGTTTGGCGGAAACCCCGAGAGATACTGATGAAATATAATTTATTTTTATTTGAAATCGTGGGTATTTATGTATTAATTGTTCATAATAGTTTCACAAAAAATCACTCTTCAAAGTTTTTCATCTTCACCTGCTTTTTCGCTTCATTTTTGATTTTTTCACTCGCTCAGCTCTGCCGTTCCAGACTTAAGCGCGACACTGCACTGACTATTTAATGAAACAAGAAACTCCTTAAGGTTGGAGCTAGAATCTGAAATGACAGAAAGAAAAGAAAATAAATATACATATATACAAATTTATTTTATATACAAATTTATGTTTGTGTATTATGTAAGTCTGAAGGAATGTAAATGCTATTGTTATGCATACGTATTTATGCAAAGCTAAGGCATATTTGCAGCCAAACAGAAATAACAAACATTCAAATCAAAACAAAAAATTGAAAAATTAAAAACAAAATATCGAAATTGTTTACGTTGCATACTTTTGCATTCAAATACAGCTGTTTGTGTAAGTACCGCTAATGACACACATATTACACATACAATCAAACGTACTGTCCACTTGAAACTCGAAATTCGAGATGACGAATGAAGGAGGTTGGCGATGAATATGTAAATATTTACATTCCGTGCTGGGAAAATTGCGGCATTTTATGGAATAATAATTGTTCAAAAATACACTAGCCTCATACCAGAAAAATACTGGTTCATTTATATATGCATGCAAATTAGGTCAAAAAATTCATAGAAATAATTCTAGCATTTGCTTTGAAGATCTCTGCCTCTGTGACTGCAACTCCAAATGGAACCACGAAAGAACGTATAAAAAAAGAATTCATCTGTGGCTTGGTAGTTACAATGAAATGAAATTGGCATTGGAAATTAATATTTTTTCCGCACAAAAGGCTAGCAAAGCCGAATGGTTAGCATTGCGCACTGATACTCGGAAGACGGGTTGAAGGCCTGGTCCGACAAACATCCAAATTTATTGAAAACCATCAGCTGTAAGTTCTTCCATTTCTTGGGAAAACATGAAGAAGCACGCCACAAATCGCTCCTCCTCTAATCGATTTCTATAATAAACGTAATAGAAATGCATTCAGAGTAATTTTGTCTTCATGGAATTCTTTTTTCTCTTTCTTCTATACCACTTTTTTGCAAATATTGAGTGGTATCTCGGACTTAACGTGACGAATGTTGGTTTTCAAGTGCTCAAGAGATAAAGGTTTATCCGCATAAGCATGGTCTTTCGCGTATCTTCTCAAAAAAGACCAACGGAGAGATTATGTGGGCGGGAAATTTGTGGGATTTGATACAATCTTGTTGAAACCACATATTGTCCAAGTCCTGTTCTTCAATTGCGGACCAAAAATAGTCGACTACATATGACCGTAATGCTCCGAATTGACAATGACAGTCTCGTCGTCGTCGTTTGCAAAAAAGTAAGGTTTAATACCACTTTCGGTGCATGGAAACTCTTATTTCAGGCAATTCTAACAAAATTTTGGTAAGCTAACACTCATTTGAAAGCTGACTAATCAAACAATACTTTTTGTAAAGACAATGATTCGTGTAAAAAGTTATTTTGATGCGTATAATGAGTACGATTTCTGAAGAAATACGTTGAGTGATGATTTTTTTACGATAAAAAGAGAAAATTGCTGCAAAACACATGCCGATTTGTGTGATTTACGGTGAGAATGTTGTAAGTGAACACCGGACAAAGAAATTATGTACTCGACTTCGTTCATGAAATTCTGATGTCAAAACTGCACCTCATTCTTGGCGGGTGTTCATTCAAAGGCTGGCGAAGTTCTGCAACTTGTCGAGAAGAAAGCGCAGGCTTTCATTACTCCTTCACATAATATCGCTTTTGAGGGCCATGCAAAGCAGCATAGAAAAAACATTGATTTACTGAAAGACTGTCGTGAAGTGCTTCTGAAGTCGATCGATTCGAATTATTTATGACGCGACTCGTTACAAGAGATGAAAAATGTCTTAAATATGATAGTAAAATATGGATAAATACTAGTCAAAAGAAGTCTACGCTCCACTTCACAATTGATGGTAAACGAGATGATATTGAGTGTATGGTAGGGTTGGAAGGGAGTTGCCAATTGTGAGCTACTACAACTTGACTTTGGGTGAATACCAAGTCCTATCGCCTTCCATTAACCAGCTTACAGCAAGTTCTTCAAGAAAAATATCAACACCATTTACAAACAGAAAATATTTTGTTTTTCATAACAATAACACCAGACCACAGACTTATTTGAAGACCTGGCAAAACCTTGCACCATATGAATATTATTTGTTTCGGCTGAGGTCAATATGTGGGCGATAAAAGCTAATATTCAATTAAGAAAATCGTATAAATTTGTAACAAAAACCGTTGAGACAATTTTTGTATTTTAAATAATTAATTAAATTAAACTTTTGCATTTATTTTATTTTATTGCTTTTTTACTATACCTAATTTTTGTACTTATATATGTATAAATCATTTAAAATATTGACACTTTGTAGCTTCTGTAGAGGAATTTACGGTTTTTTCTAAGCCGCCTCCGAGCGGCCGCTGTTGTCGTTAGCTTTTCGATAAATCGTTAACTAAGCTCCGCCCACAAAAGATTGATATTTTACTAAGGTTAAAATAAAAAAAAAGAGATGAAGAAAATATCTAAGCAATAAAAAAAATAAAAACATATTAATAATCAAAAGTGATTCTCGAGTATTTGGCAAGGTTTTTATTCCAAAATGAGGAGCTATCGTGCCTTTTATCATTGGATAGAGATTTAAAGTAGAGCACCCTTTACGCAATATAGCTGTGTTTCGATATATATTATATGCATATAACGGGTGAACCAATTAAAGGTACCTTTTCAATAGCCCTTTTTTGACAGATTACGCGTGAGTCGTGTCAAGCTTTCATGTTATTTTTGTGCAGTTTGGAATTTCATCATAGAAAGACTTACGCATGAAGAACGTTTACAAATCGATCAGCTTTATTACGAAAATTTTTTTCCCGTGCTTCGCTGATCTTACGGTCAATATATTCGGTGTACTAAGCATACTATTCGCAATACCATCACCCATCTTGAGACCCATCATTCATTATTGGATAATATTCAACCGAATACCACATCCAGTGAAGAAAATATAGTGACCGGTGCTGAGAGTGTAAACGAATACCGTGGAGAGTCGATTCGACGCAATTCGGACTGACCTATGGAATGACATGGCGCATTTTTCGTCGAGAACTTAAATTGAAAGCGTACAAAATACTGCTTTTGAAAGAACTGAGACATTGTTGCTCAACTAAAAGGTAACAGGTAAACAATATAAGTATTACCAAACTTTCATAATTTTAAAATGGTTAAGGTTCGAGATCGGTGGGGAATATCTATGAGTCAGTCTTCTGTAAGCCATTGCATCCATCACGTAACAGATGAAATCTACCCACCATTTGTTTGTGGCACTATTGGTGCAGTAGATATCACCTGTGTGTCGATCATGAGCCTCAGAAATCTGAAAGAAGCCCAAAGTTGTACTTGGATACCATTCTACTAATACGAAAATGGTAAGAGTACTTGTTTTTCAATTGTTCGTTTTATTTGCGTGCCACGATTCATTTAATTGGAGATCCTTCACAGTGCGATGAGTCATGCAGCGTAGTTTGGAAAGTGGAACCAACAAATTGTCAATTGTCAATTGATAAACTTTGTAATCCAATGCAAATATTTGAACAAAAATAATTGCTGCCACAAATTTATTTGTTTTTGTCGTATCGATAAGATATACTAAATTCTACTACAGGTCTGGAACCCTTGCCTTTCGATGGTAAGCACTTGGCTGTTTGACATTATTATATTTTATTTTATTTTTTTAATTTTATTTTATTTTGTTTTGTTTTATTTTATTTTATTTTATTTTATTTTATTTTATTTTATTTTATTTTATTTTATTTTATTTTATTTTATTTTATTTTATTTTATTTTATTTTATTTAATTTAATTTAATTTAATTTAATTTAATTTAATTTAATTTAATTTAATTTAATTTAATTTAATTTAATTTTATTTATTTATTGTAAATTAATTAAATTTAATATTTATATTTATTTGTTATTTTAATGCTTTTAATTTAACTGAATCCTTTAAAAATTATGTTAATTTTTATTTTGTTTTTTTCATTTTATTTTATATTATATTTTTTTATTTTAGAGGATTTTTCATTTAATTATACTTAATGTATTTGTTTTTTTTTTTTAACTTTGTTACTTTATACAATAATATTTTTTGTTTTTAATTTAATTTGATTTTATTTTAATTTAGTGTACATTATTTTATATAATATTAATTTATTTTAGTTTTTTTATTTTTATATTAATTTGTTTTATAGTACATATTTTGTTTTTAATATTATATTTATATATATATTACAATCTTTAAACATTAAATTTTCCAATGCGAGGTTTAAGCAAAAGAAATATGCCGCAGAAGTGAGCAGGGAACACCTTCTATGAAAGAAGTTTCTCGATTCTGCTCCTTATTACGATTCCTCTCCAGTATTGGGGCACAACTTTGATTTCGAAATATTTATAATTTCACCATGAAGTGGAATAAGTAATAACCACACGCGAATTAGGCTGTCATGAGTGTAGTGCAAGCTTTTCAGCTATCTTAGTTTTCGAAGTGTTTCTTATAAGATATATAACTGGTATTTATATAAGAAAATCATCGTACATTTTCAGATGAGCTGAATGCTTTTTTTCTTTTGCTCTTTTTTATCAATTGGTATTCTTTTAAATTATTACTTTTCACATAAAACTGTTATGCATTAACTGCATTATTTATATTTTTCTATTTTTATTTATATTTATGGAAAATATCGGATTTTCTCACACAACCACTCAATGTAAACGACGATAAGCAACTAATAAATATTGATGAAAAATATTTAGGCCGCAAAAGTCAATTCTTGAAAAGCTTAGCTCAGGTCATACGCCACAAAAAATAAATAAACCAGTCTTTTACACAATCTACTTTTTCATATAGAAGTGATAATTGAAGATTTTGATTGGCACAATGGTTCGAGTAAATATTGTAAAATAAAAAGTTTAAATATAGCTTCTATATATGTTTGTATGAATATGAATACAAAGTAGTATTTGTTCGTACGGAAATATATGAATATATATTTTATTGCGTACGCAAGTAGTAAGGTAGGGCAAAGTTTGACTACCATCGAACAATAAATATCCGAAGTTTTGGCAACAAATTAAAAGAAGTGCTTGAGAATCTATCTATTGGACTATCTAATTAGTTTTGTTGTGTTCTTTATACACTTTATGGTAAAAACATCTTTCAAATTTAATCTGTCTCCGAGAGTATTGCGACGAGAATGTCAAGGGGAAAATGTGGGCAAGTGAAATATGAGGTAATATTTTTTATCCAAAACTGTGGAAATACTTTATTAATATCTAAGAGTATATTCCAATGTACCACCAACTTCATGCCTTTGAAGAGTTCGACTGATTATAATGTTTATTGCATTACGCCAATGTTTTCTGGCTTCTGATAAGTTTACAGGCATCCATAAATTTTTTTTTTTTCGAAAAACTTAAGTTTATTATTGAGTTAACTCAATACTCAGTCAAATAAGCAATATACATGTATACAGCATGAAAGGGTACAAAAATATCATAAATATGAGAAAGGCAGTGATATCGTGATATGAAATGAAGTGTGAAAATGTGAAAAAGTTAACTTAATTGAGTAAACTTAAACAAAACAGTATTTGTTTTTATCCATATAGGTATTTAATGTACATATGTACATATGAATAATGTTATTATTACTACTTACACCTCTTTGTTGGTATCATAAAATATTTCATATTTTATTTTTCATTACTGCACAGATTTGGTTAACCCATTTATTGTGGGCGTGGCTCTTTCTATAAAAATCGGTAATTTCCGAAAAGGTCGTTTTTCATTGCTGCGATTACTATTTAAAATAGTACTTATAATAAAAGTTAATCCATAATTTCAGCAACAGATGGCTTTGTGAGTGAAATATGCTAGATTTGATCACTTAGGTCAGTAGTGTTGAGCGAATGTTAGAAATGAATACCAGCAAAGCGAAAATACGCTACATTAAAAAATTTTTCTTCGATAAAGGCGAAAACATCAGTGAGATAGCTGAAAACGTGAATAATGAATTTTGGTTTCGTTGATTTCGTTTCGGTAATTTTAATGAAATGAAATAAAATGATACACTGTGTGGAAGTCCCATTGCTCAAAACGACAATAAAATAATCAAAATCATCGAGTCTGACTGTCATGCGAGCTCTGTTTCAATTGCCCAAGAGGTAAATATGTACAATAAACAGTTTGAGGACACATGAAAAAAGCTGGATACACAAAGAAGCTTTAAGTATGAGTGCCACATGAGTTAATGTGAAAAGACCGCATGGACCTAATTTCCATTTACGAATCGCTGCTGAGTCGCAAAAAAATTTGTTACATTTTTGAAGCGGGCAATGACTGGTGATAAAAAGTGGTTCACCCTTGGCAAGATTTGAGGAAACAGGTCGTAGTCATAGGGCAGTGATCCAGCACAAATTATTTCCAAGCAAGGATTAACGACCAGAAAGGTTTTCTGGTATGTTTGGTGGGATTGGCATGGAATCGACATAGCTCTTTACTCGGACCTGTAATGTCAGTCAGGTGGTCGTAGTAGCCGTGTGGTTAGCATTGAGTACTGCCATTCCGAAGGCTCGGGTTCAAGTCCTCGTGAGAACAACATCCAAAAGTTACAGAAAATTAATTTAAATAAAAAAAAAAAAATTAAGTTAAATTTTCTAATTACGGTCACCCCTCGGCAGGAAATGTCAGCCTCTTCGGGTGTATATTGACATGAAATAAAGCTCCTCATAAAAAAACTATCAGCCGTTCGGAGGCGGCTTAATATAAACTGTAGGTCCCATCATTTGTTGCAAAAACATCAAAACGCAAAACCACAAAAATGGCTGAAAATCACTTAAGCGTTACAAAGTGCCAAATATATATTATATATATATAATGCCAGTAATTGGACAGCCTGAAAGGAGAAATCCCTCAGAAGCGACCAGATTTCGTCAACAGGTGGGAAATTGCCAGATCACATTTGTCGATAGTGAGGCGCCAGGAGCTCGAGAGCTTAATTGAGAGGCTCTGATGCATCCGCCTTATACGAGGTGTGAAAATAAAGTAATGAGACTGATTATACTGCCGCGATTAAGGTAACCCTAAGGCCTTGAAATTCCCTTTTCCTTCTCCCGGCATTCTTCTCCTCTCCATTTGCCATCGCTCTAGCTTGTTTAGTTCGCCTGCTGTGTCGTGTTGAGTAAACGTGTGTTCGTTCTGCTCGTGACGAAAATGGAAAAACGAAATCAAAGGCAACGCGTTGCCGTAAAATTTTGCGCCGAATTAAGCGAAACAGCTTCGGAAAGGTACGCTAAAAATGTAAAAGTTCATTGTGATAGTGCTCTTAGTCGTGCCGTGTTTCGAGGGCATAAAGAGTTTAAGACGAGGCGTGGAAAAGGATGATTAAGAGACCTTTTTGATAGCCGTGGAATCGTCCACAAAGAATTTCTGTCACCGGGGCAATACGTAAATCAAGTCAACTATCGCCAAGTGTTCGAAAGATTGCGAAAACGAGTCAACAGGCTGCTCCCAGACATCGCTTGTAACTGGATACTTCATCATGACAACGCGCCGTGCCACATCGCCCTCAGCGTGTCCCAGTATTTGGCCTCTAAAGAGATCGCCGTGTTGCAACAATCGCCTTATTCGCTCGATGTGTTTCCCTAGAACAAAATCAGAGCTCAAAGGAATCCATTTTGAGCCGATTGAGGTCATCCAGGCGGCCGTGACGAGGATACTCGCGGACATCTTAGTCTAAGCTTTTCAGGAGTGTTACAAAGCATGAAAAATAATTTTGAGGTATACGGTTTCTTTTTTGGGATCAGTCTCATTACTTAATTGTCACACTTCGTAGTTCGCACCTACCACCAAGTGAATAAAATCTGTTTTTGTCTATGGTAAATGTTATGGCTTCTGGAGAAAGATGAGAGAGCTATAATGACATTACCTTCTAAATGTCAAAAATATGTCAGGAAAATCGGTGTATATTCGATCGTAATGGACAACGGCTCACTTGGTTTAACACGAGTATATGTAATAAGAAACGTGTTACCTTTTCAAAAAAGAAATAACAATAGGTGTTAAGCTTATAATTAAAAAATCTATCTAGTAACCTCACTTTATTTTATATTTCCATGTCATTAAAATCCTAAATCCAATATTTAAATATTTATTCATGAAAATTATCACTTACCTAAAAAAGCTAAAAAAAAAGGAATAAAAGGTGAGTGAATGAGTATATTGATTTAGTGTGACTTTAAGGCATTAAACAGTCAAAATTTCACACGTACCAAAATAGATTTATTTACCTAAAACTACAAACACTTATGCAGGTTTTAATGCATATTTCATGCATGCGGAAACCCCTACTATGTATTCGTGCTCAATAAATTTGCATTGCATATTCAACGTAGAAATATTAATAACAATTTGAGTACATATTTACATTCTGTATGAAAATTATATAATTTTTGAAAAGTTAATGGATGTATCAGTGATGATATATAATTAAATAATAGGGTGCTCGGCCTATTAGGAACGGTGGCAGTAGTTGGTAGTATGGTTGGGTTTTTGCTTAGGTTAACATGAAGACTACGCTCCTCTCCGGTACCAGGAACTGACCTTTTCGAAAACCGTTTATTAAAGGTTCGGTTTACTTAAAACTCGGTATTTAGGCAGCATTTTGCTGAGATTTACAGCAAGACTGCACTTATCCCACGGAAGCGGACCAGTTTATGATCTATTAAAAAAAATTGATTTTATAATTCGACATGATGAAAGTCACTTTTGTTTTCAGGTACTATTCCTAGGGCCGATCTATTCGAAAAAATTATAGTATATAAAAATCTCCGGAAATGGATCGAGTGTCACCGAGCAAATATTTGATTGTTTTTGTCCATTCCATAACCTGATAAATGGAAATATTCGTTGATTTAAGCAGAAATTTTGTTGGAACGCACGCCCGTGCATTTTCGGGATCCGTTTCCTTGTATATGTATAAGAGCGTAAAAGCCGAACCATTTCATAGCGTGCGCTAGGATAATCGTTCGGATGAGCTGGTTGAACTTTTCCTATCTGAAACCGCTTAATTTAATTTAAGCTATTTTATGGGAATCGCCCTTGTTCGCGTGTTGACAAACCATTTTTGTTATTTGTTCTTGCTTGCTAATCGAGTTCATTCATATAATTCACATTCAGCTTTGAACTATCTATATATATTTTATTATCACTCCTAATGTAATATAAAGGCATGTAATTAAGGCGAGGAGAAGTTCGCTGGGTCTGCTAGTCTGTTAATAAAAAATCTCAAATTTACCTACAGCTCTAATATAAATTATTACATAATAAGCTCAGTTAATATACGATATGTATATGTGAACTTAATAAATATATATAGCATTGAAAATGAGTGAAAAAACAAATAGGTCCGTAGTAAAACTTCTGGTCTCGAATGGGGCCGTCTGTGACGAAAGAAAACGATGTCATCCGTCAATCGTATGGACCATATTTTGAAGTTAAAATGGATGTTGAACTGTCAAAATTACTTAAGAAGCAAGAAGGAATAGCTGTATTAGGCTATTCCGAAGTCTTAATAACATGTCAAATCTATGGGAATTCATTTTATGTTTAAATATTAATAAATCTGAACCAATCGGTTATATGGGCCTATTTGATGAAGCTTTTCGCTTACGAATATTTTTATTTTATTTGTGATACCTATGTACAACACTAAATTTCATACTTTTAGATGTTTTTACAGC